TCCATTGATACTATCTGCAATACTTTTGCATATTCATTAAAGAAGTGCGGGAAAAATCTATGGAAACGCAAATTCACATGTGAAAGGGTTTCATTACATAAGAAAATATCTAAACTCTGTGTAGAGCATGTGCATTCCAAATATGTGTATGGAAAATCACTGTGACTGCCGATAAAACTATTCCTCAATTTCAAGGAAACAAGGGAAAAGAATCGGATTTTTTTTTTTTTTTGTTTAACTGCGAATGTCGAAGAAGATGGTATGATGAACGTTATGATCTTCAAATGACAAGAGCGCAGTCAAACTCATAAAAAGCACCATTGCACAATGACAAAGAAAACTTTCTCCATAGTTGAAAGTTGACTTAATTCGCATTTATCACCTTTATAGCCTATTTCCACCAAACGCTTAACTGCAGTTAAGAGCTCAGATAAGTACCAATTATTTTAACACGAGGTGATTGGCAATCTTGATTTCTTAGTTTTTGCTTTCATACTTTAGTTTAGTTGTACTCAATATGACCAATTACCCCGTTCAAGTGGTAATGTCGTTTTTCCATTTGTTATAAACATTGAGCCATTATTTCTGTGTTCATATGGAAAAGTAGCTTATGTCGAAAGGCTGGCTTTAGTATAATGCGGCATTCCCTTTATTCTTTAAACGACAAGGAATTTTTTGATGAGACTTAATAAGAATATTGACTTGCTAGTATCGGAACTATTTCTTGCACGTTTATTTGCCAAAAGTTCTTCAACGGCTCAGCGCCAGTGAGTCATTCGCAATCGTATGCTGCGAATGCCGATTTATACTAAAGCCAGCCTTTCGACATAAGCTACTTTTCCATACGAACACAGATTTTATAGATAATAGTGGTATTTGTTTACCACAAATAGTGGGGAACAGGTGCCCAATTTATTGACACTTCATTCTTTAAACGCGTTTTAGTCTAACTGCTGTTTTTTGAAAAGAGGCTTGCGGCATTTGTTTTCAGTCCGCATTTTTTTGACTAAATTCCTAAAATACCCTAAACTTTTCGAATTAACTTGCCCAAGGCTTTAGATTTTGGAAAAAGAAGAGAAAACCTCAAACAATATTTATGCTCTTGGGGAATATGCTTCGGTCTTCCAGGCTGAGGTATTTGCATTCCTCAAGGCCAAGGACCACGTGTTGGAAAATACGTTCCTGCTTTGCCAGCCAAGCTGCGCTTAGGGCATTGGCCAGCCGTCTAACTACTTCTAAACCAGTTCGAGAATGCAAGTCTCGACTAATTTATGTTGCCTTACCTGGGTGCCAGGTCACTTGGGAGTACCTCAGACCACGCTTTTCTCGGTCAGCAAACAGGTATAGCACTCCCACCTTCGGTCATCGAAGCCACCATCAGAAACTGGGTGAATACTTTGCTCAGCAATGACTTGGTGGCATTGACGGGCTGGAAGTGGGCAAAACTCATGTTGGCTTCAATCTCAGAGGGTCCGAGTTGTTTGCTCACTGCAGACAACACGTTGGACTGCTGACTGGTCACTTCCCGTGGCACTAACACCTGACTGTAATATATGCAGCAAAGAAGGGTAATATTGATACTTACAAGAAACTGACATCGGAAGATGTATTGGAAATCTGCGGCAAAAATGTGCAGATATTTGATTGACGAATACTATCTCTCTAGAACAACCCTCTCTCACTAAATTTCAACCTAAAAGTCTTCATAAATTCCATAAATCCAAACTGGAATCGATATGAAACACGAGGCGTTCTTGAACAAATAAATTTTCTCGAATTAGTAGGTTGAAAGGGCAACAAAAACTTTACCTTCAAAACGATTATAGTTTATCAACGATTCTGTTTGCATTCGATGCCTAGACGAAAATCTAAAGTATCACGTTGAAATAAGGATATTGGCATTGAGTGAAAATAAGTCAAAGATATATTTTAACTGGCGCATTAGTCTAACTGTGAACATTTCAACCATTTCAATGAAAAAGGAAAATAAATATAGTCAGGAGATATTCTTGGAAGTAATTGAGGGTGCATTGAAATAAATCTATAACTGGGTCAAACTGGTGCGGCATTAAAATAAATATATTTATATTATGCCGAGTCTGAAATCTATGACGGCCCAAAGTGTAAGCGCTAGATATTTATTCTTCCTTATCCTGAGTTTCGCCCGAAAGAAAAATCACCCGAAAATTTTTATTCCGCCCATATTAAATACATGGAAACAAAAAGTGAAAAGTGAACCGGGGACTCGGTGTAAATCCAGACACAAACAGACTTTATAGCTCTCAAAGAATTACAAGATTCTGCTTTAACTTTCCTCTAAACTAAGAATTTTAAAAGTGTCTCCCAGCTGTGCTGCCCTACTATACTTTTGTCATGTGATGCTCAATGGGCCGTATGAAAAATTGCTTTTTCTTAAAATTTCAGACCTTTTACTTGATTTGTTCAAACAAAATTGAAGTAAAAGTTATGAAATTTTAAGCAAAAGGAATTACTTATTTTTATTCATCTGGCTCAGTATGTATAGGCTTTGACACCCTTTTTTATTTACTCCAACATATGACAGCGTACCTGTCTTTGTCTTATAAAAAGTGATTTTTGATAATTTTTTCGAAAATTCACATCGAAACTGAAACTGAACTGAAATAATTCAGTCAGTTACTCAGTCAGTAATAGCCCTCGTACCACTAGGACATTAGTTCGTGTGCAAGTAGACGATTTACATCAACATTTCGGCCAACAATACATATAGGAACTGCAACACAAACAACAGACAGGACAACACCGAGATTTCACTATTAACTATCAGGAAAAAATTGCAAATAAAATTGTAAAAGGCCAGAAGATTTCAACTATCCATAGCCACCTAGCAAGCATATATATAATGTCCTTTGAAGCAAACCTTTATCGGCAATTTGATTTACCTCGGGAGCAAGCATCCGAAGCAGAAAAACAAGAAGCTCAAGAGCTACCTTCAACATCAAAACAACGCTTGCCAACAGCAAGGTCTTTTGAACTATCACCACCGGTACCGCACCCCAGCTACCCTCGCTTACTTCCAGAAAAACAAGAAGCTCATGAGCTACCTTCGACATCAAAACAACGTTTGACAACACCGGAGCCTATTGAACTATCCCCTCGGGTAGCACACACCAGCTATCCTCTCTCACTTCCAGGGAAACAAAGCCAGAACAGCTGCAGCAGTCAAACACTTTTCCCTGCACCAATACTGCAATCCAGCACGCCAGTAGCACACGGTACAGCCGCCAATCACATATCCAGCAAACGCACACAGCGAGCCAATCAACCCGCTCCCAATACGTTCGCCTACAATCTCGTTCAACAAATTGTCCAAACGGTAGGTGAACTTGAAAATACGCTGTTGGAAGATCAGCAGAGCGATTTCAATTTGCGTTTGGCTTACGAACGCCAAACAGAAAAACTTAAAAATATGTGTCAGTCCTTGGATAATGAAAAAGCGCGTAATGTACGACTGATGGAGTTAATTCGTGGTGTTGAGCTATCTACTTCGACGGAAGATGACGAACCGGATTATGCGCTTTCACGATGTGGTGCTACGGAACGTTGGTCACGTACATCAGACGTATATGAATCGATAAGCCCGCTATTGTTGCAACAGAGGTAAATGTCACTAAAGTCACGAAGAGCACTAAAGATTATTCAAAAGAGTAAACAGTCAGTAATTGAGCGCATCATTCTAACTAAAATAAAGTAGTCATATAGTTCAGATGCCATATCTTAAGGTAGATATAGCGCGGCCCTAGGTATTTCGCAGGATTTAACAAGTTATCTGAAAGTATGATAGCTCTAAATCCATTGCTAATATTTTGCAGTATATCCCAATTTGGTGGAGAGTGACACTTATTTTACATACGAATGAATTCTTATAGTTTTGAATTGGTATAGTTTGGTGTAAGCGAAACATTACTGTTTGCTGTATGAACGGTAATGCAAAACTAACTTCAAGGAGACCCAATGCGTTTGCCCCTAGATGTCCCTTACATTATACGGCGCAGAAGCTCAGCCAAATTAGTGGCAAACAGCTAGACTCAATAATACTACATTGTTTTTGATGCGGCTCTTTAATACTTTTCAGATATGATGAACTCTGCAATTCATACAAACAATGCCGGCGCCAACTTATAAAAAAGGAAAAGCTTCTCAAATTAAGTCGCTGTGAAACCGAAACTGCAAAAGCGCGTTACGACAATCTACTCGATGAATATCAAATTGAACAAAAACGTTTTGAACATGTGTGCTTAATGTATCTACAATTGCAAGCAAAGAAGAATTTTGAGGTAAAAAACAACATATNTGTATGTCGATCTTCCAGTCAGGTGACGAAATGTTTCTTAATCCACATCAATGAAAAAAAAAATTATAGAAACTATTCTGTAAATTATTTTAAAAACTAGTATGTCCTTTTACTTATCCAAAGAGGTGTAATACCTAAATTAAAAAAGTATCTTAAATTAAAATAGTAAACGTTCCGACATAGTTTTCCCTATTCCTTATGCAAAATGTCATTATTTTCCTTAAATTAGTTTTTACGACGCTTGTTCTTCGATGCTGCATCATTTCGTCAGCCGCGTAAGCATCTTTTGTTTTAGGACATTATTTCGATCGGGGTCGTCTCGTTGTTTGCATTATATTATATACATATGTATATTTGTCATTATTTACAGGGTGATTCAAAAACTTAATGGAAAATCTAATTCTTTAGCCATAGGTTAATTCCTTTTAAACGCTGTATTTTATTTAAGACTCCATCCAACTAATGTAATGCTGCATCAGTTATTTTAAATTTCGAATAGGACTTACGTACCATTCTGGATTTTGAACGAAAATGACTTATGACCTTTCTATATTAAGCTAACAATATACATACATATATAAATGAATGTCTATATTTGCTATCATAAGGCCCCTATAGGGCTTCCTTAGAATAGGCAGTGAGGCCAAGGTCTCTTTTGATCTTTCGATCGTGGAGGTTTTCTTGTACTTTTGGGTAACCTTTTACATCGAAAACAAAAAGGGTGTGGGTCTTAAATAACGCAGCGCCATTTATGCCGAAGTAATACATATGTTACACAGTGTAGTTAAACCACATGCTATATCTCTTAATGAAACAAATTTGTATAATCAATTCCTCAATCCATCCCAGCTCCAACGCCTACGTGACGCTCTTAACAGCGCAATCGAGTGTATAGTGAGTGCAGAGAAACTAATCGATTGCTTGGATGAAGAGACGATTACATTGTATATGAATCGAAATATCGCCAACTTATGTGACGAGAATGATTTTTTCAACGACCACAAGACCGACACTATGGAAACCGACCATATTGCAGCATTTAAACAAAATTTCGAGTTATTTATGAAGTCTTTGCGTCTCTGCCAGAGGGCTAAAAAAGTAGCAGAAACCAATGCAAATCAATGAATGCCATGCATGGCCACCATCGGAGGTGCAGTATTGGCAATAGGATTCATCATTACATATTTGAGTGTATGTGTAGTAAATAAATATATAATTAGATAAATATTTCAACAGAGATTTTATAGAGGAAAAAAATATATATATTTTATATGAATATACCAACATTTATACGGCGGGTATATTGCAACATTTTTTGCCCCAACAATTACAAATATTTTCATTTTGCGAGCGAATTTTTTTTTTTTTCGATGAAGACATAAATATGCATTATGTATATATTTTTATATGTGCATGTACATATGTAAGTAAATACTTGCAATAAAAAATTTCCCGAAAAAAATAAAACGAGTTTTAAGTATTTTCTTAATAAGTTGATTTTTTTATTTGTTTTCATTCAACTAGCATTTTCCTTTGCACTAGTATTCGTCGCTTCAGTTACATTCTCAGTTAGTTTTCGTTTGCGTATCAGCTGAGTTTACAATTTCTTAGGATTTTTGCTGAAATTATTCTATTTTCGCTTCTTTTATAATAGTATATTTTCGCACATACGTATATATGTAAATGTGTACATTAGAGTGCAACACGCTCCATACAAAAAAAAGGGTATTTTTCCATCGGAATTATACAATTTATTATATTTTAATGCTTATGTCACAATATTTCGGAAAACTATTAAGATTTGTGTTAGCTGGTTTCATTAGAAAATGCCTCCAAATATATATTATTTGTTTTGTATCATCTGAGGTGAGTTTTAGAAAAAAAAAATTTTTTAATCTAGCTCATTTTATAAAAATCTCGGTCTTTAGAGATCTTTTCAAATCGGCATAGCTCATGTAAATCTTAATACTTTTCTGAAATGTTTCGGCGCAAGTCTTTAAATATAATAAATTTTAAAATTTCAGTAGAAAAACCGCGACTTTTTTTTCATGAAACACCCTAGTCTAAACATATTTTTGCTCATACAAATAGTTACATATATCGCACGCGGTCTTCAAAAGTGACACAACTCAAAATTTAGCATTTTTGAAATTATATACTAGAAATTTACACTGAGCCTTTATTTACCTTTCAGCAAAAGCTGGAATAAATTTTTGTTATAATTTGTTGAAAAAACCTAAGGTAAAGTCCCACTTGCCCATATGCTACGAAATAGTTTAGAATAGCAATTTTGAGTTGTGTCACTTTTGAAGATCGTTTGCGATATGCATTCATAAGTAAAATTGGTTCCTTCCTTGCACTAGTTTTTCTTTAGTTCAGGGCATATTTAGTTTACGTAAATATGTGTGTAAATGTTTTATAACTTTTTTTTATTTTATATACATATAGTACTCATTGAAGCCAAAGTAAGTATTTACGTATGTATTGGAAGCATTTTTTGTTCTCTTTGAACTACTTTCTCATAAGCTAGTTTGTGGGAAGCGATAATAAAATTTACTTTTTTCCGTGGGTATATAGTATGTAAGTAGAAAAAATGTTGCGTTGGATTGTTATTCAGTCAACTTCAGAAAGGGAATAAAAAATAGCAAAATATTTATGGATTTATTAGTTAACCTGTGGTCTCAAAACTAGAAAAAAAAAA